GCTTCAATTTTAGCTACGCTGCACGTGTATCAAAATTATACGACACATTTCAATATTTATAGATACAATGAATATTTTATTTTATTTTTGATTATTTATGAAAGATTAATAGTTAATAACACCTCCTTGAGCTTTTCCAACCTCAAACATTCTTTTAGTCATTGTTATTATTAATGTTTTTAGCATATTTTGGTCTAGGAGGGCCCATTGTGCCAAAATTTCCTGTTTAAGACTATTGACGGTGTCAAATTTAGTGTTGTTGGCGTAAACTCGTCTGGCTAGAATACCCCATAGGGTCTCTATATGATTAAGGTCCGGAGAGCAAGCTGGCCAATCCAAAACCTTCACGGAATGCTCGTTTAAAAATCGTTGGGTTTCTTTGCTTTTATGGATTGATGCATTATCCTGCATAAAAACATATTTTCTTTCCACATTTTGGTTCAAAAATGGCAGAAGACGATCCTCTACTACTTTTTTGTAGTCTGTGCTATTCATGCGAGAGCTCGTAAAGCACAGATTAAGCGTTCCAGATGCATGAAAGGCTTCCGAAACCATTGCGGATCCACCTCCGAAATTGCGCCTTGAAAACATGAGGGGATCCTTACGCAAATCTAGCCAATAATGACGAAACCCATCTGGGCCATCAAGATTAAATTTTTTCTCATCAGAAAAAATTATCTAAGTGAGAAATGTTGATTAAATTCGTATAAACAAAATGGAGTTGAAATTCCATACTGAGGCCCAGTTGGTTTCCAAATTTTTTTCAGCAAACTGAAGGCGTGCTTCTTTGTGTTGGGGCTTTAGGAATGGAGCCTTTTTTAAAACTTACCTTACAATAAATTCCGAGGCTTGAAAAGTTCGCCAGATAGTCATCCGAGGTACAGGAAGACTGCAGGACGCTGCAATTGAGGCGCATGATAGAAAAGAATTGCTTACTTTTTTCAATATGCTTCGTTTATCACGATCGAAAAGCTTGGGTTTTCTGTCGGAGCTACGTTTAAGACCACGTCCATCCGCGCCGTTTAAAAATTTAGTGATAACACAGCGTGTTTGACCCATAATCCGCGATATTTTGCTAATATTGAATCCGGCATCGTTGTAAGCTCTTATTCGTCCCTTTTCTTCTTCTCTTAATAAGCAACCATGCGGCATTTTATTAAAAACTAATTAAATACTTAGCAGAACTTTAAAAAAAACAAATTGGCACCAAATCTTTCGCGCCAACAGCAAAAATCTAAGTGTGTCGTATAATTTAGATACACGTGCAGCGTAGCTAAAATTGAAGCGTGTGTCCTTTTTTTATCGTTACTCGAAAACGGAAGAAGCAAAAATATCTCATTCTGTGCATTAAACATTGTGCTATTATCCCTCATACTTTGTTTTGATCGTTTTCGATTTCGCATTCTGCTACGAGCGCCGAAACAAAAAATTTAAAGGTGTCGTATAATTTTGGGTAGGAGTGTATAATAGGAGACTCTTACTTATAACTTACCTAGCTTAACAAATCGTAGGACAATGCTCGGTGTAGTTATTCTGCATAACCTCATTAATGAGGATGTATGTAGATAAACAGCATTTACTAACATGCTTAAATTGTAACATTCCTTATAGAAGGACTAGAAACTCAAGTTTTCTATTCCTTAGTCATTGTAGTTTGACATATACACAGCACGACCCATTCAGGGTCTTATGTTGGAACTACAATGGTCTCTACTGTATAACATTTTCTTCCTGTCCTTCAAACTTAGGCCTCGTCTGGGCCTCTAAGCTTTATGATGAAGACAGGAATGGTAGCTGATGCACTAGTCATTTCCAAAATTCTAAAGGACCGCGAAAACAAAATTTTTTTAAAACAAGAAAGGAAAGCTAACTTCGGGCGGAGCCGAAGTTTATATACCCTTGCAGTTAAAACCGGATATATATCGCAAACATCGGATATAGTTGGCCGATCCTTATGAACACATCATAATAAAACCAATTAACTAAAATAAAAAAAATATAAAACAAGTCCCAAGCTTCTATCTTCAAAAATAAGAAAGTTGATATTTCTACCAAATACTATTTCCGATCGTTCAGTTATATGGCAGCTATAGGATATAGTCGGCCGATCCTAATGAAATTTGGTAGGTTGGATCAATTGGCCAAAAATATAATCTGTACCAAGTTTCAGCTTTCTATCTTCAAAAACACGAAAGTTGGGTCATTTCCGATCGTTCAGTTATATGGCAGCTATAGGATATAGTCGGCCGATCCTTATGAAATTTGGCATGTCGTAATGTTTTGCCAAAAATAGCGCTCGTGTCAAATTTGAACTCTCTAACTCTAAAAACACCAAAGTTATACCATTTCCGATCAATCAGTTATATGGCAGCTATAGGATATAGTCGGCCGATCCGGGCCGTTCCGACTTATATACTGCGTGCAAAGGAAAGAAGGGTGTGTGCAAAGTTTCAAGACGATAGCTTTAAAACTGAGAGACTAGTTCGCGTAGAAACGGACAGACAGACAGACGGACAGACAGACGGACATGCTCATATCAACTCAGGAGGTGATCCTGATCAAGAATATATATACTTTATAGGGTCGGAGATGTCTCCTTCACTGCGTTGCACACTTTTGGACAAAATTATAATACCCTCTGCAAGGGTATAAATATAAACTTAAAATGATTTTTGTTCAATTTGGCATAATTGGGACCATGAATTGGGCATCAAAATATGCTTTGTTCCATAAATCTGAAATTACAAAAAGAATTGGCATTAAAATATGGTTTGTCCCATAAATCTCAAATGATAAGACGAAAAAAAAAAATTAACAAATAAAAATATTAATTTAAAATGATTTTTGTTCAATTTGGCATAATTGGGACCATGAATTGGGCATCAAAATATGGTTTGTTCCATAAATCTGAAATGACAAAAAGAATTGGCATTAAAATATGGTTTGTCTCATAAATCGGAAATGATAAGACGAATTTCTAATAATTTAATTAGATGTAAATTGCAAGTCTATGACTGACCCTTTTAAACGGGATGATATATTAAAATTTTTAATTTTTTGCTGGGGGCCTGTAAAACGTTCTTTGGTGCGTGTTGGCATCCCCATGTAATTTTCTGGTATTTTTATACCCTTGCAGAGGGTATTATAATTTTGTCCAAAAGTGTGCAACGCAGTGAAGGAGACATCTCCGACCCTATAAAGTATATATATTCTTGATCAGGATCACCTCCTGAGTTGATATGAGCATGTCCGTCTGTCCGTCTGTCCGTCTGTCCGTCTGTCTGTTTCTACGCAAACTAGTCTCTCAGTTTTAAAGCTATCGTCTTGAAACTTTGCACACACCCTTCTTTCCTTTGCACGCAGTATATAAGTCGGAACGGCCGGGATCGGCCGACTATATCCTATAGCTGCCATATAACTGATTGATCGGAAATGGTATAACTTTGGTGTTTTTAGAGTTAGAGAGTTCAAATTTGACATGAGAGCTATTTTTGGCAAAATAATACGACATGCCAAATTTCATAAGGATCGGCCGACTATATCTTATAGCTGCCATATAACTGAACGATCGGAAATGACCCAACTTTCGTGTTTTTGAAGATAGAAAGCTGGAACTTGGTACAGATTATATTTTTGGCCAGTTAATCCGACCTACAAAATTTCATTAGGATCGGCCGACTATATCCTATAGCTGCCATATAACTGAACGATCGGAAATGACCCAACATTCGTGTTTTTGAAGATAGAAAGCTGGCACTTGGTACACATTCTATTTTTGGTCAGTCAATCCGATCTACCAAATTTCATAACGATCGGTTGACTATATCTTATAGCTGACATATAACTGAACGATCGGAAATGGTATTTGGTAGAAATATCAACTTTCGAATTTTTGAAGATAGAAGCTTGGGACTTTTTTTTAGATTCTTTATTGTAATTAATTGGTTTTATTATGATGTAATCATAAGGATCGGCCAACTATATCCGATGTTTGCGATATATATCCGGTTATAGCTGCAAGGGTATATAAACTTCGGCTCCGCCCGAAGTTAGCTTTGCTTTCTTGTTTTATCTGAGTACGGGGTGGCGAAAAAATCCTTTCAGAAACTGAAACTTTCTGTAAAAACTCATGGTCCCGATTTCATGACAGGGCATTGCCAATTTGAATAAAAATAATTTTTCATTAATATTTTAAGCAAAAAAAAAAAATGCAAAAACAACAAAAAACGTATCTGATAATAGAAGATCTATTTAAATCAGTTATGTCCGTTATTGCCAATTTTCTAATTCAAATTTAAAAGAATTTTCGGTATGACCGTAGTGCGTTACTTAAAATGTTCGGAAAAGAATACATGTTTTTACTCGTAAAACATTTTTTGATCTCAGCACTAACGAGAAAACAAAAAGATGGCCCGGTATCGATTACTGGTCGTTTGTAATTGAAATCGGATGCATTATTTAATAAAAAAAAAATTAATTAAAAACTAAATTGGGTTGTAAAAATTTGAGCTATGGTGGAACTGAAATAAAAAAAATTTGAGTGAAACCAGTAAAATTCTTTTACACAAGAAAGAAAAAAATTTGTTTTCATTTGTATGTATGTTACATTTCAGTTCTTGAGTAAAAATACAAAAAAATACAAAATACAAATAAAAATATATCAAAATACATCTTAAAATATAAAATTACCATGAATCTTAATAATTTGAGAGATTGAGCTTCTTTATTGGTACTATCGGCACCATTGCTGTGATAGATGACGACAAATTTTGAAGTATATACATAATATATATTGAAGCCTATAGAAGTTTATAACAAACCATAAAATACTATTTTCTGAAAACTTTCTATTCTTTACCTGTCATTTCAGTCATTGTTAACAAATTATAAAATTTTAAAACTAAACACCGGGTGTATTTCATATTTCTGCCTTGCTATTAGGTTAAGGTGATAAACATCGGATAAAATCCAGAAGCAGTGTCCAATACTTTTTGCATTGCAGCCCTGCAACAATTGTTTGTTTCGAAACATTTGAATGGACATCAAATCAGCTGATTGGGATTTTAAATTGTGTTGGGTGTTTACGTGGAATTTATGCGTACTAAAATACACAAAAAATAGAAACTGAAGTTCATAATGATTGAAATAACTGATTTACAGAGTATGTTGCCCAACTTCGCTTAGCCAAATAACCACTCACCCAATGTTACTTTACAGAAATAGGCATCGGCCTGGCTGGATTTGGCATATCGTTTCTTTTCTTCGGCATGCTATTGCTTTTTGACAAGGGCCTTCTCGCTATTGGCAATGTATTAATGCGACTGCACAGGCTGCGTATGGACATGAAATTTGCAACTCTTCTTTTCCCGTAGATTTTGTTCCTATCGGGTCTGGGTTGTGTGATTGGCGTTGAACGTACTTTGCGCTTCTTCTTCCAACGCCATAAAGTGAAGGGTACCACAGCGTTCTTTGGAGGAATAATTATTGTTCTGTTAGGTTTTCCTATAATCGGTATGATTATTGAGTCTTACGGATTCTTTGCACTTTTCAGGTTCGTAATTTCATTATTAATATTCTACTTAAATCATTCTAAATTAGAAAAAAAAAATTTTTCATTTCAAATTTCGTCCAAGAAAAATAACTTTGGTTTTGAATTGTATCTTTTTTTTATCATCTGCGTTAAACAATCGAATATGTTTATTTAATGTTAAGTGTAGTCTTTCTATATCTGAGTTTCCTGTTTTTTAGGGGGTCGTATAATGTATATTTATATTGTTGTCTAGCAGAAACTGTTTTATACAGTTTATATTAAATTCGTTGTCTGTTATAATCGGTTTGGGCTTTGCTAAGTTTTGTATCCTATCTTTAAATGCTTTCAAAAGAGATGTCCACGATCTATATTTAATGTGCAGTAGCATACTTTGTCAATTTATCGATGGTGGTCAGATATATTCGAATAGGAAACCAGATATCCATGTGGATTATTTCATTGTGTTGGGAAGGAGTATCGGTTATGTTTAGCTTATATTTTATTGGGTTTCGATCGTACTTGGCTAAGTGGCATATTTGACAATTATTTACGTATTTCTGAAAAAGTTACGTTGATACCCCTATGGTTGTTTCTTAAATGTTCCTATTAATGTTCTTATTACCTTTATATTAACGTTGTAAGCAAAAAATTGTATATAGCATTCCTGGAATTGTACGTGTCTTCACAAAAGGTTTATGTAGGTTTGTTGTAGGTTATGTAGGAATTTTAGGTTTATATCTTCACAAAAGATGGGTATTAAGCCTTTTTCAGGTAGAATGTCTCGCATTATCTCTAATAAATCTGAATTATTGCCATTTGTTTGTATAATATGTCTTATTTTCTTTTTATAAAAGATTTTAATGGTTCTTAATTCCTTATATTATTTTTTCCAGTACAATTTGTAATTTGTATATGTTAAGAGGGTTTTCTGTATTTCGTATATAGTTTAAGTAATCTTATTGAGCACTGTGAATGGTTTCATAACCATTAAAAACAAGATTATTAGATCTGTATCGGATTTATGAGCTCGCCCATAAATATATCGGTTTCATTTAAGTTTATAATAAAGCTTTGATTTATTTCGAGACTATTTAGGAGTTTGTTATGATCGCAGATTCTACTAGTCCATCCGCTAACGCGTTTTCTTTCCCTTTTATAAATTCAATTCCGAAATCATGTTCGTTCAATTGAATTTTCCACCTTTAAAACTTTAAGTTAGGTTCTTTTAAATTGTTTAATATAAATTATATTAATTATTAATATAAATCTTCTCCCATACAAGCAGTAATGAAAATGTTCAATTCCCCAGACAATAGCTAACAATTATTTGTATACCCTTGCAGAGGGTATTATAATTTTGGTCAAAAGTGTGCAACGCAGTGAAGGAGACATCTCCGACCCTATAAAGTATACATATTCTTGATCAGGATCACCTCATGAGTTGATATAAGCAAGTCCGTCTGTCTGTTTCTACGCGAACTAGTCTCTCAGTTTTAAAGCTATCGTCTTGAAACTTTGCACACATCCTTCTTTCCTTTGCACGCAGTACATAAGTCGGAACGGCCGGGATCGGCCGACTATATCCTATAGCTGCCATATAACAGATTGATCGGAAGTGGTATAACTTTGATGTTTTGAAAGTTAGAGTTCAAATTTTACACGAGAGGTTTTTTTAGCAGAATAATACTACATCCAAATTTTCATGAGGATCGGCCGACTATATTCTATAGCTGCCTTATAACTGAAGTGACCCAACTTTTGTGTTTTTGAAGATAGAAAGCTGGAACTTGGTACAGATTTTAGTTTTGGTCAGTTAATCCGACCTACCAAAACGATCGGCTGACTATATCTTATAGCTGCCATATAACTAAACGATCGGATATGGTATTTGGTAGAAATACCATCTTTGGTATTTTTGAAGACAGAAGCATAGTATTTTTTTTTAGATATTTTATTGTAATTAATTGGCTTTATTATGATATTCGCATAAGGAGCGGCCAACTATATCCGATGTTTGCGATATTTATCCGGTTTTGACTGCAAGGGTAAATCAACTTCGGTTTCGCCCGAAGTTAGCTTTTCTTTCTTGTTTTTTATTGTTTTGAACCCAACATAAAGAGTAGCGATACTTGCACTCGAAAGAGTTACTATTTAATATTTAGAGCTATTACGTTTTCTTCCAGCGGGTTTTTCCCTGTTGCAATCAACTTCCTTGGAAGGGTGCCACTTTTAGGACCTCTCTTAAATATACCAATTATGCAAAAGGTAAGTCCTTAGTTTAGATTTGCTTGCGATGAACGTGATGATTCGACTCTTAAAGTAAATTTCATCCATCCCCAAGGCCTTTTGAAACTGCATCTACCCGCAACGACAAAGCAAAAACCGAGTTGACTGCAAATTGGTTTAATCTACACTATGTATTTTAACATTTACAAGTCCAGCTAGTGTGAAAATCTAATGGTTTTTGTTCCAGTCCTCGCGCTCCTCGCGTTCCTTTACCACCTCGTTGAGATAGGGCTCCAAGTACTTAACATCTTCCTCGTACTTGGTCCACTGCTCCTTCGGTAGAATTGTTTTGGTCATCGACAGATGCAGGGCACGCATAATGCGGTAATTGCGCTCGTCATACAGCTTGCGGGGCAATCGACGCACGGCCTCTTTCACGTCCTCATTCTCATATAGACAATCATCGCGAAGAAGACCTGATTAGTCAAGGGTAATCAAAGTTAGAATTTTCAAACATGTATTTTTGGTTTTAATATCATCTTACCGTATTGGTTGAATCCAGACAGGTTGTAAGCCCATTTTCCCAAGTTTGCTGGAATAGTAACATTTTACGTAATCATTATGATAACGTGTTGTGTTAATGCCTTTAAGTTTCCGGAGAAGTCAATTTTCTTTATCAAAATCATACTCACAGAAAATAGCCGGTCCTTTTCTGGCAATATAACTGGACATATTATTTAATTGTTTCAAATTTCAAGAAAATCGGTCGTGCCTATTCAATTTAGGTATGACAGCAACACTTTGTTAGAGATGACAGTACTCTTAAGACTTAGTGGTGGTAGACATCGGTTCAAATTATCGGTTGATAATCGTTAACAAATCGCACATTCATTGCATATTTCCGAAAACAATTGTACCAATAATATTTAATCCAATTGGATAGCGCCATCCCAAGTGGAACAATTTTTTTTTTTTAAACGTTTGTATAAATCGATTTTTTTTTAATTATCGATAACCAAAATGCATTATATTTTTATAAATGCAATGAAGAGAACATTACCCTGCCGTCTTAAAATATTTTTAAACGATATTCTCCTACTATTTAATGTTAAAACATTTAATTGTGATACTATGATGAGAAATGGTCAAAATTTTGGTCATTTGAACTAGAGGTCTGCATGAATAAGCATAGTACTGAGTTGACGAAAATCCGCTGTCCAACGAGTGACAGCTGTCAAACTCCATATAAAAAAACGGTGTAAAAAAGGAAAGAAGAAGAAATTTTTGCCTTCTAGATTTTGCGGGTACTGAGTTGACGAAAATTTTTGTTATTGATTTTAATCGTGTTGCCGGATCAAAAAAAATAAACAGCTGCTCTCGGAGTGTTAAAATAAATATTTCAATTTATTTTTATAGGTGTGACATGGAGGGTCAATTGACCAAACAAAAAAATAGTCGGCCCGAAAAATTTTCGACGCGCCAGGACAAATTAAAATTAATTTCTGCGGTCAAGACGAAGCCTATAATATGGGATTTGACCCACAAGGGGCATTTTAATGCCATAAAATGGCATTGAAATGATTTGTGATTGATTTTGATTTTGATTTTGACCCAGTTTTCTATTTCTTAATCAGATCCTTAGCGGCGAAATACATAAACAAAACACCAATATCCAATCGTTTTGAATTCATTTTTGTTTATTTGTTTTTTGTTTACAAACAACAGCTGTTCAGTATAACCTTATTTTTTCATTTTTTTGGTCACACTAGCTCGGTAGTTGAATAAAGTGCAAAATCGCTATCAGAATTTCAACAGCGGATTTTCGTCAACTCAATACTATGCTATAGCTACAAAAACAACATTCACATGTACATCCTTGAAAATTAATTGAGTGAGATAGAATGCTGAGACGAAAATTAATGAATGAGTAAGTGCGACTGTGTAGGTCTCACTCGCACAACATTGGGGGGATGAAATCGATAAATGTAGTATTTTCAGACGCTGATAATAAAATAATTTAAAAGGGGAAGCAATTTTTTTCAGAAATATTCATTATTATTTTGTATAATCTATTTTACATATTTTAGAATGTAAAAATATTTTCAATATACATACATATATTAATAAATATTTTTCCAATACAATTTTGGCGCTAAAAAATATTGTAAAATAATTTAATTTGAAAAAACTCACAAGAAAACTAAACAAAAAACACTAAGAAAATAATAACGGTTAAAAACAATAGGTATAAAAAAATTTTTCACACATTCGCGAAAAAAAAACTTTCATTATAATTTACCTTATGGTCAACTTTCTCATTATTAAAGATGTATTAAAAGAAGCGTTTTGCTCAACAGAAGAAAAAAAAACATTCCAGTGTTAACCAGTGTTAAAAACCATTCGAAACATTCTCACTCCCTCTCACTCAATTGGTTGTGTCTCTTGCATTCATCCATTCTATTACATTAGGATCAGTGTTGCCATTTTAGCCTATTTCAGGCTAGATCTAGCCTATTTTTAAATGATATAGCCTATAAAATTTGTAAATAGCCTGACGTGGAGGCTATTTGAATGACGGGGAGAACGACGATATTGAAAGTTTGTTAACGTGTTTAATATAATAAAAACATGAAAATTACTTTAATGTGGTAGATATTATTAGATTTGAATATATAGCTTATTTATATAGCCTATTCTAGCCTATTTTTACCCAAAATCTAGCCTATTTGCGAGCTCAATACCTGGCAACACTGATTAGGATGTATTCTATGACTGAGGCAATAAGAATGTATTCCTACAGACCTCTGATTAGAACCAGCAGTAGTACCAATAATAATTAAAAAATATAAAAAGTAGGTAACCTAAAAAATTTAAAAACAATTTACATTTTTATAAACAAAACTTTCAGTATAATTTTAAAATGCAATAATAAATCATAATAAATGCATATAATACATTTTATTGAACTGAATTTGATTATCGATAATCAAAAAAGATATCAAATTTTTCCAACAAAAATTTTTCTGCGTTCAAAATTGAAATATTACAAACTTATATATATAAAGTGGGCTACCTTGACCCATTTCTTATTTAGTATATTTAAATAGAAGAATCATTAGATATACCTCGTACTTTTCTTTATTTGTTTAGATTGTGCAAAAACTTGGTGGAGATGGAAACCGAACGACGGTATAATATGTCTAAAAAGGTTAACTTAATAAAAAACATTTTTTTGTATGTAAAAAATTCAATTTAAATTCTTGTAACTTACTTTTATTTGAGGTTTTGCCACTATAAAAATAAAAAAAAAAAACAAAACTGACATACACCATATTGTTTTACTCTCCATGTTTTTATTATTTTAATAAAAATATTACATAGACTTTAATTTATTTATTTTTTATTATTGTGGATAATTGCTTCATATGCTTGGTTTTGAATTGTTTTTTTTTTTTTATCATCTGCGTTAAACAATCGAATATGTTTATTTAATGTTAAGTGTAGTCTTTCTATATCTGAGTTTCCTGTTTTTTAGGGGGTCGTATAATGTATATTTATATTGTTGTCTAGCAGAAACTGTTTTATACAGTTTATATTAAATTCTTTGTCTGTTATAATCGGTTTGGGCTTTGCTAAGTTTTGTATCCTATCTTTAAACGCTTTCAAAAGAGATGTCCACGATCTATATTTAATGTGCAGTAGCATACTTTGTCAATTTATCGATGGTGGTCAGATATATTCGAATAGGAAACCAGATATCCATGTGGATTATTTCATTGTGTTGGGAAGGAGTATCGGTTATGTTTAGCTTATATTTTATTGGGTTTCGATCGTACTTGGCTAAGTGGCATATTTGACAATTATTTACGTATTTCTGAAAAAGTTTCGTTGATACCCCTATGGTTGTTTCTTAAATGTTCCTCGTCGATTATTTTTAAAATTTTTTCCTTATCTGTAATATCTTTAAGAAGTGCAATTGATCTTATTACCTTTATATTAACCAGGGACCGTAATTGTTATAATTTTTAAAATAAAAATTATAAAAAAAAAATTATTTGTTGATTTTTATGACAAAAATTGAAATGTAACTCTTATTTTCAATTTTTATAATAATAATTAAGAATAAGAATTATTTTTCAATTTTTATAAAAAAAATAAAAATAAAAATTATGATTCAATTTTTATTAAAAAAATTGAAAATAAGTGTTACGATTCAATTTTTATTATAAAAATTGAAAATAAAAATTGAATGCGAATAACTTCTGAACCGAGTGGACTATTAAAAAACCGCTTACATTTTTATGATCTGTGGCGCAGTACCTTTCAAATGATGTATCGAATGTCCTTAAAGGACATAATCAAGGATTCCTTAATAATTCCATAAATAACAGTGTTCATTACAAAAGGAAGACTCGATTATGTGAATTATGTGAAGAAAAATTTCAACATAGTGTACGTTGAGATCCACCTTGTTGGCACATCCAGTAGAGGTTGGGGGATGTATCCATAATTTTAAAATAGTATTGTAATTTTTAAGTGTAATGTTATGCATTTAATTTGTTTACCTATAAGTCGGAGTTCGCAAAGTTTTTATTATGGATCGTGCGCTATCGACAAGGAATCTCCGACTCCTCTCTTTTAGCAGGTCATGAACAGCTAACTGCATGGAATAGGCGGCACATCTAATCGAATATATAGAGTGAACGCGAATATCTTTCATAAGGTCGTCATCGTCAAACTCGTCACAAAATTCAGAATTCAATTCTTTGTTCATGAAGTCGATCGCTTTAATGACATTCTTGCCATTGTCTGAAGTGACAGTGTAGACTTGCTCCTTTTTTATTAAAAACTCGTTCAGCACATTTTCAATTTTCATGCTTCATGGAGCGCAATCACGCCATGCGTCTTTACTTCAATGCGGTGGTCTCGATAGTATTGGACATTGATTCCCAATATACCCCTGTTGACCCACACTAGAAATATAACTAAATAAATTGAATAATTGAGGAATCCTTGATTATGTCCTTTAAGGACATTCGATACATCATTTGAAAGGTACTGCGCCACAGATCATAAAAATGTAAGCGGTTTTTTAATAGTCCACTCGGTTCAGAAGTTATTCACATTCAACTTTTATTTTCAATTTTTATAATAAAAATTGAATCGTAACACTTATTTTAAATTTTTTTAATAAAAATTGAATCATAATTTTTATTTTTATTTTTTTTATAAAAATTGAAAAATAATTCTTATTCTTTATTATTATTATAAAAATTGAAAATAAGAGTTATATTTCAATTTTAGCAATAGAAATTGAAATAAAAGTTTATTGTTTTTCTGGATTCACCGTTAAAAAATGGTATATGTGCCCTTTTCCCACTCCCCACAAAGGCTTTTTTGTCGTTCAATTTTTTTGAACTCATAAGTCTTATTTGCAGTCCCTGATATTAACGTTGTAAGCAAAAAATTGTATATAGCATTCCTGGAATTGTACGTGTCTTCACAAAAGGTTTATGTAGGTTTGTTGTAGGTTATGTAGGAATTTTAGGTTTATATCTTCACAAAAGATGGGTATTAAGCCTTTTTCAGGTAGAATGTCTCGCATTATCTCTAATAAATCTGAATTATTGCCATTTGTTTGTATAATATGTCTTATTTTCTTTTTATAAAAGATTTTAATGGTTCTTAATTCCTTATATTATTTTTTCCAGTACAATTTGTAATTTGTATATGTTAAGAGGGTTTTCTGTATTTCGTATATAGTTTAAGTAATCTTATTGAGCACTGTGAATGGTTTCATAACCATTAAAAACAAGAT